ACTTACTAAGGATCATGCAGCTTATAAATTTCAAGACCAAAAATATGGGTTGCCATTTCACATTTTCACATCCCCCTCCCCATGTTATAATTTTATTTTAATCCTGCTTCTCTCAGACATCTATTTTTAAATGTTATTAATTTTTATTGAGATGTAAATTACATATCATAAAACTCACCATTTTAATATATGTCAGTAGCTTGTACTATATGAATACATGAAAATAAACAAGTTTGTGCAACCATCACCACTAATTCCAGAAATTTTCATGATCCCCTCAAAAAGAAATTTCATATTTATTATCAATTATTTCCCATTTCCTCCCTCTACCACCACCTCACAACCACTAATCTACTTTCTGTCTCTATGGATTTGCCTTTTCTGAACATTACACATGAGTGGAATCATACAAGATCTGATCCTTTGTATTTGATATGTTTTGCTTAGCGTAGTTTTGAGATTTATCTGTGGTTTAGCATGTGTCAGTCTTAATTATTTTTGTGGTTAAATAATATTCAATTGTATGGATATGTACTGTACTACATTTCTATTTTGTAGGTTTGTTTATTGGTGCATATTAGTGGTTTTACTGGATGGTAGGTCCCACGGGAATTCTTTCCAGGTCCTTGGCATCCTAAACAAAGAATTAGACAAGACACACTGAAAAGGTAGGGTAGATGTACACTTAGTGAAGGTGGAAAAGAAGGCACTCTGCAGAGTGAGAGCAGTCTGGTGAACAGGCTCACAATGGTGGTGAGGACTAGGGAAAGGGCTCTTTTGCTTATGGAATTCTTCGATTGGCTTCTTCCTCATTCAAACAAGGCTTAGGGACCATCGTCATATCAAAAACTCACTCAAGTGGCCTGGTGCCAGGTTTAAACTGCCCTATTGAAGACTCTCTTGGCTTCACACCAGATATAAATGAAGAATTGAAAATGGCACTTTTCTGATTAGTTCCATGTACAGTGCTCAGGCACTGTAGAATCATTGTGGATCCTATCTGTGCCTATGCCCTGGGTCTCTATGACTTTGACAGATTCTGCCAGTTGTTTGACTAGATCATCCCAGCCCTAATCTCCTATCTCAGCAGTAAAAACATAGAGTTTTGTTGTGTTTTTTTCCCCCCCAGATAAAAAGTTAAAAAAGAGGTTTTTTTTGTTTTGTTTTTTTTCTTCCCCAGGTTGAGGATACAACCCAGGGCCACTCTACCACAGTAGACCTACATCACCAGCCCTTGTTATTTTGAGACAAGGTCTTCCTAAATTGCCTAGGCTGGGTTCAAACTTGCAATCCTCCTGACTCGGCCTTCTAGAGTTGTAGAATGCTGGGATGATAGGCATGCCTGGCAATAATGAGATTCTTTATGGTATATTGGTACAATTGTATAACTTCTTTTTTCTTTACTTTTCTTTTTTTCTGTATTGAGTTTTAAAACCAGGGCCTTCACACTGAGCTACATCTCTAGCCCTTTTTTTTATTTTGAGACAGGTACTTGCTAAGGTCACTGAATTGCTCAGGCTGGCTTGAACTTGCAATCCTCACTGCCTCAGACTTCCAGGATGTTGGGCTTAAAGGTGTGTGCCACCACTTCCAGAGTGTATAACATATTTTGATTAGTCTCATCCCTGTTATCTCCTCCTTTCCTCCCCCTTCTCCTAATCACCTTTCTTATCTCTAGAAGACTGCCTGTACTATGTTTTGTTTATCCATTTATCACTTGGTGGTTATATCTTCTTATTGTCTATTTAGTATAGTACAGTACTACTATGAATATTCTTATACAAGTTTTTATATGAACATATATTTTCTCATGAGTATATTTTTAGGAGTAGAATTGTGGTGTCATATGCTAACTCCATGTTTAACATTTTGAAGGATTTCCAGATAGTTTGCCAAAATACCCAACATTTTATATTCACATCTACAAGCCATAGTTCCAATTTCCCTACATCTCTTTTTAATCTGTTTTCTTTTTTAATCATCGTACCTACCCCAGCAGATATGAAGTGGTACTTCAGTGTAGTTTTCACTTTTTTTTTCATTTTTGTGGTGCTGGGGATTGAACCTAGGGACTTGTAAATGCCGGAGAAGTGCTCTACCAGGGAGCTGCACCCTCAGCCTCATTAATGTGGTTTTGATTTGCATTTTCCTAATGATTAGTCATATTGAACACCCTTTCATATGCTCATTAGCCACATCATAGCTTCTTTTTGGAAAAATATCTACTCCAATCCTTTTGTACATTTTAATTGATTTATTGTCTTCCTATTGAGTTGCATAGCTTCTTTTTGGAAAAATATCTACTCCAATCCTTTTGTACATTTTAATTGATTTATTGTCTTCCTATTGAGTTGTTGATGTTCTTTATATATATATATATATACATATATACATATATATATGTATATATATGTAATTTTATCTTATGTAATCTTGAAAACATCTTTGCTTGGTAAGTACTATGTCTATGTTTTAAGATAAAGAAGTAAGATTTATATATTTGGCTAATTTACTGAAGGTCACATAGCTGGTGAAATTTAGAATTAAGCTTGAACCTAAACTACCTGACACCCAGACCTTAACTTTTTTTTTTTTTTTGGTACCGGGGATTGAACTCAGGTCCTT